CACCACCTTGATAAACTTGCCACAGCCATTAACGCAAAATAATTATAATATGCTTGCTGTAAAAATATGTGCAGTCAAACAAGACATTAATAAAGATGCCATGTTAAATGCTGAAGCAAAATTGTGTAAAACACTATGCTTATAACAATGATAAGATCAGTAATAGTAACTAAGTGTAAAACTTAGGACCGACTGTCAAAGACCACACGTCATTAAACAATTTAAAATTTGTTGCGTACTATGCGGTAACAAATTTTAATATTGTTATGAAAGCTTTAATTTTAGGTTTTAAAAAATTAACACTTAAAATATACAATGAAAAGAATAAATCTACTTATAGAACAGGAGCGTACTGGGAAAGGACGGGGAAGGAAAGAGGGAGGGGTATTTAGTTGTTATAAATTACAACATTCATCTATATGAAGATTTTTTCAACTTGAATATGAATAGATAAAATAATGGTACACTTCAAAAGTTCAAAGTTCATTCAGACACACAATATAATTCAGTCTGTCAGGTTACTTATGCATGAAATACTGATATACAAGATAGTTATGTAGGCATTGATAAGAATAATAAACATGATGAATATTTTTATGATAAATGATTAATAACACTCTTTTTAACTCACTTAAGATAAAAAAATCAAAGGTGGGGTGTGGACTGCGTGGTGTAACTGGTATTCATAATGTAACTGATTACAATCTCTTAACATAATTTATAGAAACAACATAATTGATAACTCCACTGAATCTTTACACAAATAGCTAATTACGTTGCCAACTGCAATTGAATCTAAAATGTCCTTCTTGGTCAACGTCAACATAAATGTCTCAAGCTTGTCGTTACCTAGTGAGAAACGCAGCCTAATTTTGACGGTTTTTAATTTACTAAATGTCCGTTCACAGCTCAATTGCAAGAATGAAAGTGTTAATAGTAAGACAGAATTCAATTGCAAGAATGAAAGTGTTTAAAAGGTTACCTTGAAGGAATATTTGTATAAAGTACTATAGAAAAATTTAAAACATTTTTTACAAGTTTTACACAACGTTTAAAGTTCTAAAAACTTTGGTCATTCTTAATTTTTCAGTAGCTTTTATTAACGTATCCAACTCTAAGACTAAGTTCGATTTTTCTGAATCACCGTCACTAGGACTCTGCAAATTCATCTCGTAGCCACCTGTTTTCACCACCAGCGTGTTACACCAATTTTTTGCAACATTGGTATATATTGTTTAACAAATGTTGTAAACTAGTGTTGCTTTCAAAATATCTAAAAAATTCTTTAAAAATTATCATAAAATGTTGAACACACAAATTTTTTATTAAACTGCCCTTATTATCTGGCTTTCTAACAGATTTGATTTGTATTGAACCTTTATATCCAAAGTCAATCGCTTTTATTTTTTTTAGTTAATGATTTTAATCTTTTTAAAAACGTTTGCAAAAAAGTTGAATTCAATAGAATTATTAATTTATGTGGTTCTAGTATATATTTTATGATTATTTTCGAAGCAATATTTGTTTTTGAAAACGACTATGGCAACAACAACGACAAAAAAAAAATTTAAGTACTCTTTGAAGTTGGCATTATAATTTCGTAAAGTCTCTTATGAGACTTATTCTTATCGTATGCTAATGTCGTAATCTTACTTAATCTACAACTTTTATCTGCATCAAACATGCAACGAAATAGAAATCAACTAAGGTTAAATCGACGACATCACAAATAAAGAAAAAAAGTCTTTAAAACTAATTGTCAGTAATTACTTGACAATTAGTTTTAAATTATTACATTAGCAAGAACACGCAAGATAGTCTGTATCAAAACTATATATCAAAATAGGGATTTTTAGGGCTGATAAATTCATTTTTACTTCAAAGAATTTTCTTGCTTTACTTCCATTATATCGATGATGCAGAAGCTCTGAATCCAGAAACATTCACAATCAAAACCGGTTTCTTCTTTAGTAGCACCTATTTGGATTTTCTTTTTCTCCTTAGTAACATGCTCCTAAGATATTTCCACTAAGGTCTTTCAAGCCTTCATAAAACGATCACAATTGTTTTGATTTAGGTTCTTATTTATGAATTTTATTACCCCTAGATTGTTCATTAATTGGCGGTTTGCATTTACAAACAAATCAGTCGAATCGCCCACTGAGAACGGTATCCATGTCTTGCCATCAACCATTACAAGTTTCAATTTAAGTTTCATAAAAATAGAATCAATCATTGTTGGTATCGTATCAGCATCCATATATCTTTGTAGTCATAGATAGGTTTTACCTTCTTTATCAAAACCTTTGTGATCTCCATGATGAACCGGAACCTATTAGGTCTGTAGCATGGTGTTGATGACTGTTTTGAGTATAACCACAGGATCTTCCCTCTTTCCTTAACTGAAAGTTTTAGAGAAACTTTAAAAGTTAAAATTAGGGATTTTTTTGATAACTTAGATTTGTAGATCTGTCAAAACTGCATTTGGTGATGAAAAAAGTTACATGTGACTTTTCTTAACAATTTTTGCATTCAGCATATATATTGTTTAATACTATTTTTTTATTTTTTAAATAACCATTTTTTTTCTTTTTAATATCTTTCACACATGTGTTTACAGCCGCTTCCCTCCCGCACGCACAGTTTTCACCCTCTCTCCCTAGCTGGAAGAGCAGCTTCCCTCTTAAGTAAACAGAATAGCAAAACCCAGGGGCCGGATCAGGACCAATGTTTTATCAATTGCTGTAATATTTAAAGAGGAACCTAAAATAAATGGAGTTTAGAACTTTGTCTTTAGAACACAGAATGCGTACATAACAAGGATGAATTTGTGATTGATTTTAAAGGTGCGGCTTTTAGGAAGATATTTAGTTCTGTGGCTGTATTCTCATCTCTCCGTTAAGCTTAACGGAGCTTTTGTCTAAAAGTTCTTTTTAACTACATTAATAAAAAAAATTCTTTAAAAAAATATTTTTTTCAATAAAATTGTTTTAGTTTTATTTAAACAAATTCAAATAAAGTTTTTGTTATTTCTTTATTTAGAAATATTGTAATGAAATTTTTGACAAACGCTCCGTTTAGCTTAAAGGAGAGATGAGAATACGGCTGGTGGGCTTGATTTTAACAAAACAAAAAATTTAAAGGATATTTTTTATCCTAAATTACTATTAAAAAAAACAAGATTTTAATTTTTTTGTTTGTTTGTTTGTTTTAATTAATATCTAAAATTTTTTTTTTTTTTTTTTTTTTTTTTTTTTTTTTTTTTTTTTTTTTTTACAACAATTATTATATATTTCAAGAACAAATATTTACATGACTCCAGTTTATATAAATGTCCACCACACATATTTACAATATCTAAAGAGCGTTAACAATGCTGTTTCACGCTTGGCGTATTACAGTGGGTTAGAAATGTTAAGAGAACAATAAAAAAAAAAAAAATATATAAAAAAAATAAGAAGTAAAAAATCGTGGTTTATAATATAAAGTGCTGGCTATTAACCCATGCATTTAAAAAATATACGCAAGTCCGTCGCACCACAGGGCTACTAGGGACTTGCTTGTGGTTATCGTTGAAAAAATATATTAATATATCATAATAATGCTATGTTGTTGTAAGGAAACTCGCAGAAGACTAGGAGAAGTCTTTTCATCGAGAACCTTTAAAATGCAAAATGAACAAAAAATTTAAAGAGCAATTTCACAAAACACACATTAACTTTGAGGTCCACTCTTCAGTAATATTTTACTATGTATAGTTGCTACTATATTTGTTATTATTATTATTATTATTTTTATTTTATTTATTTTTTAAAATTTAAATTATTCTTGTTACATTTATTATATTCATTTTCTTTTACATTTAATACATATCGATAAAATTGGTTTTGTTAATTATGAGATCTTTTAATTTTTTTTTAAGGATAGTAAGATTATCTAATTTAGTAAGTTCTATATTTTGAGATATTATTTTGTTGTATAAGTAGGGGCCACGGTATGCAATTGAAAATCTTGAAAATTTTGTTTTTTTAATAGGCAGGGTGAAATTTCCTGTTCCTCTTGTGCTGTATCTGTTGGCGTAGGTTTGAAAAAAGTTATTAGTAAAATGAGATGGGACAAGCCCGAGCATATATTTGAGCATAAATAAAATATTTTGGTAGATGTTAATTTGATAGACATTTAACGCATTCAAGTTTTTAAGTAAAGGATCGGCATGAGTGAATTTATTTTTATTATAAATCAATCTTGATGCGTGTTTCTGGTGTACATATAGAGAATTTAGTTTAGATTTATTTGTACTTCCCCAGGCAATATTAGCATGTTAAATAACTTTGTATATAAGAAAAGTAGAGACTTTTAAGATTTTTCTGGGAAAGTAAAGGTTTGACTTTGTAGAGTATGCCGATACTTTTTGATATTTTTGTATTTATTGTAAATTAATTGATATCGTAAATTTTATTTACGATTTTTCAGGATCTTGAAAATTTAAAAAACGACTATTGTATTTACAAAATATGGTATCTTGGTCCATGGCATTCTAGTTGGATATCCTAAAGTAAAAATGTGATTTTGAAACCTCCATTTTTGGAGGTTTTGCTAACGGCGTTTATTCTTTTTAATGAACGTAAAGGATTATGCCCATTGAAAAAATAAACCCTTAATTAACTTGTAACCTTAAAAACCCTTAATAAACTTGTAATAAAAACTTAATTAACTTAATAATTGGAAAAAAAAAAGTTTTATTTGTGCTCATCTTAGCAATTTAAATAAACTTACTTAAATGAATATTCTAAAAATTAGCTTAGAATTTAAAAAACACAATTTATTATTACATACATCAAAAAAACAAATTTTGTTTAAATTAAACCAAAAAAACGGGACAAAAAAAAACGCGTAATTTAGACTAAAACTCGGCATTCATTATTTACCCACAATTTAATTTAAAAAACAAGTATTGTCAGTACGTAATTAAATTCTTTTTAACAATAGAAAAAAGTCTCTTCAAAAAATTTTTTTTTCTCGTTTATAAAGATTTTATAAATTCGCTCAAACTAGGATCGCATGAACCGAGTACATGAGGCAAGTTTTCTGAATTTTCTGAAACAATGTTTGTGGACTTGTGATCAAATAATTTGCCTTCACTAAGTGCCAAAAAGTTTTCTTTAAAACACGACAGCAATTCAAGGTTCTTAAACTTAACTGCAAAAATACAATCGATTGGTGATCCGTCACTGACATCAGAAAACGCATTCCATGTGACAGTAAGATCATTGTTCTTGAATGGTTCTAAACGCATATTCGAAGTTACAAGATGATTTGCACATACTTTATGAACTTGATCTCGACGCATAACTAGTCGCGCTTTACCGGTTTCCGTATGACGTAATAGTTTCATTTCACCAACACCTCTTTCTTTCCACTTTTTATCATCATATCTATATAGTTTACATCGTTCATTAAACACAACGCATTCGTTCTCCTCACCACTCTCTACAGTTATAGATTTGAGTTGAACAATTGGTTCCACATAAATATTGACTTCGTCTTCGTTATCATTTTCACGATTATCCGTTTTATCAACTGTTTGAAAAAGAGCTGTTCCGAAACCAACAAAAGACTTGCCAAGATTAGAAGAAAATCCAGATTCTCCACTACTTGCTAATGACGCAAAAGATATTTTATTAAAAGAACCACCAAATATTGACTCGACTTTATTATTACTTTTATCAACATCAGTTTGAAGACTTTTTTGATCACCGCTCAATTCTTCTACTTCGATCGACTTTTTTACGTTTTCAAAATTAAACAAAAAATTTTCGGCATCAGGCATATCACGAAATTTCAATGCGTACTCTCCGTAGCATGTGTCAAACTTGAATACAATTTTGGAATCCTTAGGCATTTTCAGTTCATGTTTTTTCATAATTTTCATTACTAATTGTTCTTTACCCGCTGGGTCAACCACCGTTATATAGTAGGCTGTTTCACCTCTGGTTTCTTTCACAATATTAATTTTATTTAATTCTGTATATTCTTGGTATTCGTCACCTACATGTTTAAATAAATGACCACTAGTACTGTACAAAACTTGAGGGTCGAAAAAGACGTGCGATTCGTTAAAATCGTGCGATTCGCTAAAATCTGAAGATGCTTCGGCCACTTTCGAATCGCTACTAAAAAAAACAGATTTTGTGTGCGTGTGTAATTTAAAAATTTTTTTTTTTTTTTTTTAAATTAAAACAATCATAACGACAAACGTAATAATAACAAAAATGGTTAGTTATAATAAACAGTTAAAACGTGTTGAGCCAAGAGGAAATTGAAATAATTTTTTTTTACTTAATTTGAATTAATATCACAACACAAAAAATAAAGGATAGAAAATAAAGGATAGAAAATTTCGTTTGCTTCCTCGTGACCTTTTACGTTTTGACGGACTTTTCTACGCAAGTTTTTGGGCAAAATTTTATATTATGAATTAAAATACTTAACGCAAGTAGTAATATATAAAATTTGTTTTATTTATAGAAATTTGTTGGGATCTTAAACATCAAAATTTTCTTAAAGCTATAAAAAATAAGGTGTAAATTAAAAAAATCAAAATTTTTAAACATAAAAATAAAAAATTCAATAGTCTTTTATTTATAGTATTTTTTTAAATAATTTTTTTTTTCTTTGATAAAGGATTCTATAGCTGTGTTTCTTATTTTGTTTTAATTTACAAATTAAAAAAAAAATTATTTCATTTTAAGAGTGTTATAAATTTCTGAATATTTAGATTGAGAATTTCCTAATTTTGCAATTTAATTATCTATTTACAACTTATTTATAATATCAGCAAAACGATCCGTCAAATAATAAAAGGTCAAAACAACAAAAGGCTTTTAATATTTAGTTTAACTTAAGTTAGCTCGCAAAACCAAACAGCTTTTGCTATTACAATCATTATCCAAATTTTATTACTATCAACCAATTATAAATAACAAACCTTTAAAAAAAATAAAAAATAAACCTTTCTTTGTCATTCTTCTCAGTGACATTAAATTTTACTTGTCTAGTATTAGTTATTTGATTATAAAATGTTTCTGGAAGAAGCAGCATTTTTGCTTTATTTATTAAAGTATTATCTATTTTCGATTCGTATGTAATTTCAACATCCTCATCTTTAAGTTCATCTCGTTCACAGCTTTCATCGCCGGATTCTATTACAATAACGTCTTGAGTAACTTTCGCTTCGTATGTTGAGTAAGTTTCGCTTGATTCAAAGGAGTTAATTGAACAAATGGATTTAAATATATCAGCAAATTCTTTTGCCCGTTCCTCTAGTTTGAAACGAGCAGCAAATGTTTGTTCAGTAGCTTCGCCATCAGAAATATCAGAAGTACTTTTCCAAACATATGCATTTTTACTTGTTCCCATTGGTTGAATTACCATTCCCTTTACCAACATATGATTTGCACTCAACTTATGAGTTTGATCCCTTCTCAATAACAACCGGTACTGCTTATTAACTTTATGCTGTAATATTTTAAGATCTCCAGTTCCTCTTTCCTTCCATTGCCCATCATATCGAAACATCTTAGAACGCTCATTAAAAATAACAACTTCATCTTCTTCTCCAGTTAAATAGTTTATATGGGAAAGAGAGACAAGTGGAGCAAATTCTGCTGAGCATTCTGTGTCCTCAACTTCTAAACTTTTATTTGGGGATGAAATGGATGGAGCAAGGTTGTTAGAAGTAATTGTAGAAAGCTCCTTAGATGCATCAAATTTAAAAGCAAATGGTTTATCTCCAAAAACAGACTGCACTTGTTCAGAATCAGGTTTTATCCTAAGATCATCAATACTGCTTGCAGCAGAAAGACTTGGGGAAGATGATACCCCAAATGTAAACGTAAAATCTGTATTAAGACCTTTAGGCATCCACGAGTCAATTTTTGCAGAGTGCTTTTCGTTTTCTTTAATATCAGTCTTTTTAGGGAGGTCTCTTGGTGGGGGCATCAAAAGTTGATCAACATGAGCTTTATTTTTGGAATCAATAATAGAAGGTGTAGAAAAATCGAAAGGTGAAATCAATATGTTGTTTTTCAATTCAAAACTCTGATCACTTTTATTGACTAAAATATCTGGCTTAAAATTAATTGGTTTAGAAAATTGTTCAGGGTCTAAACGAACAACAGGCGCCTTCTGTTTAGGTGATTCACATTCTCTGCAAACATCACGACTGCCATTATTTTTAGATAGACATGCTGGGCACTCCCAAGTATTAAGATCTGCTTCAAAACTTTGTTTAAATACAGATTTACTATCATGTTTAATAGGCAGTTCATTTATTTGAGAGCTACTGACTGGTGCACCAAAAGTATACATATTAGTTTTTGGTGCAAATGTAAAACCGGCTGACGGAGAATTCAAAGGTGCACCAAAACTAAAACCTGTTGTGGAACTTGAAGAAACACCAAAAGTAAAAAGACTGTTTTTCAAAACACTTTCTGATTTTTGACAACTAGTATCAATGTTTAAAGATGGATTACTGCTTGCATTTGGATTAGGAGACTGGCAAGCAACACAGCATTGTGCAGATATCTGATTAGAAACTAAACATGTGCTACAACTCCAATTGCTTTCCTTATTAAACTTAGACTTTAGGTTTTTAATTTTTGCATCAATATTTTGTTGATTATTAGAAGCACCAAAACTTGAACTTGCTGTGGAACTTGAAGAAACACCAAAAGTAAAAAGATTGTTCTTCGAAGCAACTTCTGGTTTTTGATAACTAGTATCAACACTTGAAGACGGATTACTGCTTGCATTTGGATTAGGAGATTGGCAAGCAACACAGCATTGTGCAGATATCTGATTAGAAACTAAACAAGTATTACAACTCCAACTTCCTTCCTTGACAAACTTAGACTTTAAGTTTTTGACTTTTGCTTCAATATTTTGTTGATTATTTGAAGTACTTTTAGAAGATACAATAACTTTACATTTGTCAAAACATAACTTAAAATCAGTAGCTGATTCGGAAGTCTTAAAATTAGCGCAAAATTGTCCTGACTTAGCTTCCCCATCTGATATATCTGCTTGTGTAGACCAAACCCATGCTTTATTAGATTTACCTTGTGGTTTAAGTTCCATATCAGCAGTAATAGCATGATTGGCACATAACTTATGAACTTGCTCTCTTCTCATCACAATGCGACAGCTGTTATTAGTTTTATCCCTAGTTATTTTTAACTCGCCAATACCACGCTCCTTCCAACTTTTAGTTGTCAAATCATATCTGTAAAGCTTTAATCTATTTGAATACATAACTTCATCATTTTCCTCACCAGTAATCAATTGATCAAGCTTTGAAACATGAGCAATAGCTTCAACAAATATGTCATTTTCCTCCTCATGTGCAGGCTCCTCTTGTGCAACTGCAGGCTTATTTTTATCAATAGTCTGGGTAATAGATTTGTTACAATCATTAAGATTTGTTTTATTGAACACTGGTAAATCACTTGACATAGCTTGCAATGTACTGGATACAACTGACATTGAAGTATGTGGTTCAGGTTTTTTTAATGAAAAGGAAAACAGAGGTGGCGTAGAACTAGTCTTCAAACCGGTAGAGGGTATATTAGAAATGGTAGAAGCTACATTAAATTGGAAGCCAGAAAAACTTTGTGTTGATACTACTGCTGATGAAGAAGATGAGATCAATGAGACATTTTCAGGCAAGTGAGATGAGCTCATTATTGTATCAGATTTTTCACCAAAATCAAGTTTTTTAGAGTTCATAGTGCCACAAGAAATACAACTAGATTTATTACTCTCATTTCGGACTAAACAGGTAGCACATTCCCACTGTCCAGGGAGAATAGAAAACTTAAAAGCTAATGTCTTTGAACTAGATTCACTTTTTGTTTTATTTTCAGAAGAATTTTCATTTTCAGATTTAATCTTTGATAAACTCTTAGACTCAACACCTTTAAGCTCAATATTTGAAAGCACATTAACCATGTCTTTTTGACATTCTTCAAAAATTGCTTTAAACTGATTAGCTATTTCGATACTGGTAAACTTTACACAAAACTGTGATGATATAGGCGGAAGTCCTTCAGAGTAATCAGAAGGAGTAAACCACACCCATGACTTATCTGAAGACATCAGTGGTTTTAACTCCATATTAGGCATAATGGCATGATTGGCACACAACTTATGAATTACTTCCCGCCTCATAATAATTCTTCGATATCCTGTAACAATATTTTTTGTTAGTTTTATTTCCCCCACACCTCTCTCTTTCCACTGTCCACTGACATAGCGATAAAGCTTACAACGGTGCTTAAACAAAGCCTCGTCATCTTCTTCACCAGTTTGAATATTTTTTAACTTTGTAACTTGAACAATTGATTCCACATGAGGATCGTACTCACTTTCTGCTTCGTTATTTTCATTTTCAATCTGTTCTGTAGCAAAAAGCTTAGTACCAGCACCACTGAAAGAAGAAGCTTGACTGCTAAATCCAGGTAATGCAGCTAATTCAGCAAACAAATTGACAGCATTTCCAGTAACTTGCTTTCCACCAAAAATATCTAAGAATAAATTGCAAAGAAATCTAAAATTTTTTAAAATTACATTTGGAAGTCTTATTTTGTCTAGATATAACATTTTTAAATTTGATACAATTTTATAAAGAAAAAGAAATTACAAATAAACTTATATTCAGACTTTTCAACTTTAAAAAAAAAATGAAAATAATCAGTGGTAACTAAGATTTATAAACATAATGTAAACTGTTAATTTGAACATATTTGTGATACTTGCACACCTCAATTAATATATATTTATATATATATATATATATATATATATATATATATATATATATATATATATATATATATATATATATATATATATATATATATATATATATATATATATATATATATATATATATATATATATATATATATATATATATATACACACACACACACACTATATACACACAGAGATGTAGTCAAGACAATAAAGGCCAAGGGCAAGACTAAGACCAAGACATTTGCGCTCAAGAACAAGACCAAGACTGAATGCTTTAAGAGACCAAGACCAAGACATCAAAATATCAACCCAAGACCAAGACTTTGAAACTTTTTACAAGACTATTAGGAGAATAGCAAATAAATCTTTTTTTTTTTTTTATTGTCTAAAAAAACATAAAAGACTTTTTTTTAAAATTCTCATAACATAAAAGATTTCAGTTGTCAAACCAACTCAACAAACTCTTATTGAGAGAGGGAAGTTGCAGTGATCTACGTTTTTTTATTAAAAACTAATCCATTCATTGAGTTGATATTTATTGTAATAATCAAGAAAGTAAAAGACAGAAGAGGTCCACGACCAAGATCAAGACCAATACTCTAGGATTTCAAGACAAAGACTTTAGGCTTCAAGACCAATACCAAGACAGTTAAATATGAGTCCAAGACTTTGGTCTTAAGACCTACATCTCTCTGTGTGTGTGTGTGTGTGTGTGTGTGTGTGTGTGTGTGTGTGTGTGTGTGTGTGTGTGTGTGTGTGTGTGTGTATATATATATATATATATATATATATATATATATATATATATATATATATATATATATGCATATATGCATATATACATATATATACATATATATTTTCAAATAAATAACAATTTTTAAAAAACTTTTTGACAACATGTTTCATCAATATCAATTGACATCATCAGGTATAAAAAATTAGTTACAACTTCTGTATATAAACAATTTTTTTGGCTACATTTAAAATTTAATAGTTTTTTACAATAGTTACATAAAATAAATAATTACCATGTAATTTTACAAAAGATTATACAAAAGGTGTGAAATAATTAATAACAAACAAAATAGGAAATAAAAAATAAGATAATTGAGCAATTATATTGCTATAGTAATAGTGTATGATTTTAATTGTGTATTAAGAAGAGGTTTTTCCATCTCAATATGGATCCCTTCCTTAATTTTGAGTTCATACTTGGAGGAAGCTCTGTCAACAATGGAAAAGCAATAAGGATTTGTTGAATTTTTGCATTTTTGTGATGAATTGAGGTGTTTGTAAATATGGGAAGCCTTATCTGAATTTAAGTGTTCTGAAATCCTTGTTGCGTAGTGTCTGGTGGCTTACCAATGTATCCAGCATTACAGCTGGATACATTGGTAAATCAAAAGTAATTCAAAACTTAAAAAAATTAAATATTATAATTTGATTTGCAAGACTTGAAACTCCACAATTTCAAATATAACAAAACAATAATAAATTAAAAATTCAAAGTAATTTAAGCAATATATTAAAAGTGAAGAAAACCTTTTAATTAAATAATAAATCATATATAATTCTCTCTTATTTAAAATTAAAATAAAATTATTTATTGTAAAATTAATATTGTAGTAAAATTAACTATTTTTGAAAAAAACAAAATTAATTTTACTACAATATTATTAGTTATTTTTTAACTTTATTTAGCAAAACAAAAATTTTAAAATATTTTTGAAATAAATTAAATTTCCCAGGACATTCCAGAACACTTGTAAAAATCCAGGACATTTCAGGAATATGGCCACTATGAACATGCCTAACTTTATCGAAAGATTTTAATATGTTAAGAGCAACAGCCTTTGCCTTGTTGCCTCCATTTAATGCTCAATAGAATTTTTCATTCACAGTAGATCAACTGTATGTCATTTGTAAGTCAACTGTATGTCATTTGATTCAAGGGTTGAATTAAAGGGAAGGTTTTTTGCAAATAGTTTTGTCTCATCCGTGGTAGGGTTAATAAAATCAGACCCATGAATAAGAGATGGAGTGTTCAAATTACACTTATTAATGACACTGTTAAAGATTATCCAAAATGCTGAGATAAGATCTATTAGGCTTGATTTATTAGGCTGGTGTAGATGTATTTATAATACATTGTTTCCAGTTTAGGATGTTGAATACTGGAACTTCTTGACTCAATGCATGGGTTTTGCTTGTGTATCTATTTTTATGACTAGGCGATTCTTTCTATTATCATCTAATGAGGGTACAGCTCTAAAACTCAGTTTTATGGTTCTGAGGCCGGCTGGTAGTCAGGTTACCCGAACTCTAATGGTAGCTCTCAGAGAGGCTGATTCCATCAACAGCTGAAAAATATCTAAGTACTAACAGTGCCATGTTGCACATGGATGGTGTCCCTGTTTGTACTTTTGGTGTGCATTGTTAAGGCCACATTTGGAGCCCTTTGCTACATATAAGGGTTTATTAATAGTAATGAAGCAATTGCTTGGACTATTAAATAGTGTACTGAGTACTATATGTGCTTTGAGTCAAGTTTTTTAACAATTACAAAAATAACTAAAATACCAAAAACTATAAAACACAAATATCCATCGCCACCATCAAGTTCTTTTAACCTATCATTCATTAACACTCATGATCTTTAAAGTAACTTTTCTTCTGTTGAATCTTATCTCTAGCAAAGTTAACCAGACCTACTTGCTCTTGTGAGATTAATTTGAGTTTGGCAGTCTTATCTTGTGATCTTAGTGTTGATGGTCATCTTCTTTTAATAAAGGCTCCAATAGTTACATGTTTAGCCTGGACATTTACATTTGCAAGAATTCACCCATCTGTTAGGAAACTAGGTTTGAATTCACAGACAATTCTTTTATGTGCTTTTGTTTAGCACCACTTTACTCTATCACCTTTCTCTTTGTTCTATATCGCTCTCTATATTAAGACTGCACTCTTTTTGATGTTTTTTTTTTTATCAAATTGACCAGACCGATTCCTTCAAGCAAATTAATATTATTAAAAAAATAATTTTATTACTTATAGATTTTACAACCAATTATAAATCTGAAAAAATATTATTTTTAAAAACATGATACTTTTAATCTAACATAAGATTCCTTATAATAAAAACTTTTCAAGCGAATTTTCAGCCAATATTGTTGTAGTTACTGAATTTAATGCTCATTGCACTGAGTGGCTTGGCTCTAGTGTCAATGACTCTGCAGGCGTTAAGGCTCGCAACTTTTGTCTTTCTCAATCTCTAACTCAAATAGTCAACTTTGAAACTTGCTTTCCAGACAATATTTCCAGACATTTACTTTCTCTACTCGATTTATGTCTTGTTCCTGATCCTATTGGCGCTCAGTTTCTCCAAACTCACACTTAGGTGCTTCTGATCACAGTTTGATCTTACTAAAACTATTATCTCATTCTTCTTCATCATCAGAATCCCCCTATCATCGTACCACTTACAACTACCTAAAAGCTGACTGGGACTCTTTCCCTGATTTTCATTGTGATAAAGATCAGGGAAAGAGTCAAATGTGCTTCTTCCATAACTTCTTGGATTCAGGCTGGCATAGAATCTTTTATTCCCTCTCGACGATTCTAAGTCATGCCTCACTCTTCTCCATGGTTACCCTCACATTGTGCTGCTGCAATTGACAATCGAAACCATTACTTCCATATTTAACAGCAAAACAATTCTCCAGAAAACAGACACCTGTTTACTATTGCTAAAAAAAATTGTTAAAAGTTTTTTTTTAATGCCAAAGCTCACTATTCTCACTAAGTCTCATATTTCATCTATAAAATTAGGCTATTGTGACTTCTGGAAAATCTTAAACAGTATCTATAATAAGAGCAAATCTGTTACTCCACCTCTCTTGTATGGTTTAGATTTTGTCAACTCACCTAAAGACAAAGCTGAATTGTTTGGTAAAAGCTTTTCATTAATATCATCTCTTGATTCCACTAGTTGTGTTCTATCTGATATAGCCGATAAACAGGTTGATCCATTGCTTGACTTTTGTATCACTCCAGCTTCTGTATTTGTACTTCTGTAAAGTAATTTCCGGCTTAGACTCTTCTACAGCTGGTCCAAACAACATAACTGTTATAATCTTGCAGAAGTGTTCTTCAGAGCTGTCATCTATACTTTCAAAACTATTTAACAAATGCTTATCAGAGTCTTGTTTTCCATCCTGCTGGAAAGCAGCATCTGTTATCCCTATTTTCAAAAACTCTGGAGAGCAATCTGACTCATCTAACTACCGTCCCATTAGTCTTTTTCCTATCGTAAGCAAGGTTTTTGAGTCTTTAATAACACTTAATCTCTCATCTTGAATATAATAACTTACTTTCCGATCATCAATATGAATTTCGATCTTTTCTTTCTACAGCTGATTTGTTAACGGTAATAACCATTAAGCTTTAGCGTGCATTAGATAAATGTGGAGAGGCTTCGGCTATCACTTACAACATTTCTAAAGTTTTTAATAAAGTTTAGCATGCTGGTCTTCACCATAAGCTTTCTTCTTATGGTTTATCAGGTAACATCTTTAAGATAATTGAATCCTTTCTTACCAATCGTAGTATAAAGTTGTCCTTGATGGATAGCACTCAAGGTCTCAAGTAAATCTGCATGCAGATTTACTCTGGGGCTTCTTCTTTGGCACAAGCATTTGTCACTTTGTGGGATATTCTGATAGAATAAAAGTATCCAATGCTAATCCAACCAACTCCTTATATGTAAATTACAGTATAAGCCCAAGACTTTTGGATTTAACAGTTGCAATGACTTTAAGTTGACATCAGTTGTTGCCCCAAACGTCTAAAACCATTGAACAAACCCTCAGCAAGAAGTATTATACCCATTCAAGCCTTTAGATGTATGATAATACATCCCATGCTTCAAAAAACTGAAAAACTACAGATGCCTGTCCATCAGTTGTTATTGATGGAACACCCAAAAACCCAAACAAAAATTCAAAACCTGATAATAGGACTGAGACATCAGTTTACCTATAAACATAATAATAAAAAACACCTAAAACATATATAAAAGCCTATGAACACCTAAAAATAAGTAATATTGAAAATATATACAATTGAGATGCGGCCATGGCGTAATATAAAACAGTAAGCTTAAAATCATAAAAGTAAGTAATCATAATAGTGCTGGCGTAGGACTAGGATGGAAGAGGGAGGTAAGGTAAAGGAGGTAAGGTAAAGGAGGGGGCAGAAGGGGTGATATACCCACTTAATTTTTGATAATTTCTGTTTTTTTTTTTCTATTCAATTTCTGATTCTGGTTGCCTTAGCCTCCCTTAATTTTACTGTCTTGACCTTCCTATGCCACTGTCAGTATATTTAGTAAATATATCAATAAAAGTTACACTAAAGGTTATTCAATAGTGAATATTTATTGTAAATATTTCAATATAATGCATTGCACAGCTATTCATTAATGTAATATATATATATATATATATATATATATATATATATATATATATATATATATATATACATATATATATATATATATATATATATATATATATATATATATATATATATATATATATATATATATATATATATATATATATATATATATATATATATATAGACACACACTCACACATAACATTTATGTTTATATTTAATTATTAAAATAAATCATTTAGTAAACACAAAAAACTGATCCAGCTTAAGAATAGCAAAAATAAAGGTTTTATTCAGTTTTGGCACAATATAAAATAAAACAACACCATGTTGCAATGTGATGACTTTAATTGTTATTTTAGTATTTCCATATACTTGGTGAACCAAGACAAGTATGTGGAAATATGCCTCTTCCATACTTGGATTTGGTAGCCTGAGAATTATTCCTTATTCTACTCTTCTTCTTAATTAATCTTCACAGAAAGAAGTAAAAGTACTTTCATTACTCCACAACATCTTATTCTTTTACTCCATGGTACAATTCTTGTGCAATTGTGTAAAATCCTTTCATTTTGCAATGTTATCATCACTTTTGCCATTCAAGCCAATATCCTGTAAATGATTTTTAACAGCTCTTGGTAATAGTCCAACTTTGTGATTGTTTTCCATAAAGTTTAAAAAATCAGATGCCATAGAAATAACAAATAGCTAAACATTTGCAAACTAAAACTTGATCTTCCTTAACTGTTATTTTTTGTGTTCTGTCAGCAACTGTACCACTGTCTTTTATTTTCTTTAGTGTTCTTTTCATTGTTGACAATCCAATTTTCACCTGCATAGCTAAGTCTTAGCATTAATTCCTAGATTTGCCATGCTAATAATATGCAATGGGTCATTTGATTATTTTATAAATATTGTAGACAGATATTGTTCCAAAAGTATGAATGCTTTCATAAAAAGTATGATTGGATGCTTTAACAAGTTAATTATAAGCAATTCTAATAATTATAAATTAGAAGTAATAATTAAATACTAATTAATTTTAATAAAGTCACTGATTGCTGTTTATGACAATAGTCATAAGTTTGACATAACAATCAAACACATTCAAAAAGAGATTATGAAACAATAGTGAAAGATTTTGAAAAGTTGATGTAATAAACAATTTAATTAAAAAAAAACAAGTAATTATCACAAAAAAGTGACAAAAGTCACTGACAAAAAGTTGCTAACAATGCATCAATAAAGTTTCTCTTAAAATCTAAAAAAACTCTAAAAACCAAACATTTATTAGTGAGCAATCATCAAACTATGCCTTATAAAAAAATGTTTATAGGGTCATGACTTTATGCTACTACTGTATATAAAAGTTTATAAAAAAATGTTTATAGGGTCATGACTTTATGCTACTACTGTATATAAAAGTTTATAAAAAAATGTTTATAGGGTCATGACTTTATGCTACTACTGTATATAAAAGTTTATAAAAAAATGTTTATAGGGTCATGACTTTATGCTACTACTGTATATAAAAGTTTATAAAAAAATGTTTATAGGGTCATGACTTTATGCTACTACTGTATATAAAAGTTTATAAAAAAATGTTTATAGGGTCATGACTTTATGCTACTACTGTATATAAAAGTTTATAAAAAAATGTTTATAGGGTCATGACTTTATGCTACTACTGTATATAAAAGTTTATAAAAAAATGTTTATAGGGTCATGACTTTATGCTACTACTGTATATAAAAGTTTATAAAAAAATGTTTATAGGGTCATGACTTTATGCTACTACTGTATATAAAAGTTTATAAAAAAATGTTTATAGGGTCATGACTTTATGCTACTACTGTATATAAAAGTTTATAAAAAAATGTTTATAGGGTCATGACTTTATGCTACTACTGTATATAAAAGTTTATCAACATTAGTTTGATTCTATATTTTATATTTTTATCTATATTTATAAACATTACGTTTTTTCTTTAATATATTATGAGTTAAATTACTACTGATTAATTCTTTTTATAACTTTTCATTATTATCTAAATTAGTTACAAATTTCTATATCTTTATTTCAAAAACAACCTTGTCTTAAAAAAAAACATGTTTTTTAGAAAAATTAGAAAGTTTTTTTCATTTCTAAAGAATAAATTTTGAAAAATTATAAAAAGATATTTTCAAAGTTTTTTTTTTTTACAGAAAACCTTTTATAAAACGTTTTAAAAAATTACTTTTTTTACCTTTCTTTACTTCTGCTTTCTGAACTGTGAACTCATCATTAGAAATATTGGCTTTACATTTATTTAGATCAGCTTTATGCTTCGATGAACTACCAACACATCCACTGCATCCAGTGCATGGCTTGTGATTTTTATATAAGAAAAAGGTTTCAGGGAGTAGCAGACGTTTTGCCTCATCCCTGTGCTCTAATGATGGTTTTACATCTAATGTAATTTGCACTTCACCATTGTTAACTTCTTTAAGCTCTGAACCAGATGGCTTTAAATTATCTGTCCTATAGATATATTTTAAATAGCTATTATTTTTTAAATTATTCTTAATAAATCTTCAACAATTGTAAATAACCAACATTTAATTTAAATTCTAAGAATTAAAACCTATAGAAATACTTCTATAGGTTTTAACCTTTAATATTTAATATTTATCCTTTTTTTATTTTTTGTTAATACACATATTTATGTTTATATAAAACAATAAATTTATTATTGTTTTATATAAACATTGTTTACAACACACATTGTTTTAAATCACAGTAAAAAAATCACTTAAAAGAAATTTGAATAATGCAAATTGTAATTTTAACATATTGTCATGTTGCAGTATATAAAAAAAGCTTTAAAAATTCATGATTTTTTATCTGAATTTTTGAACTCTGATGGGTCATTAGCCCAGACATTGCTTCAACATTTTTTTAATAGTTTAAAAGTATGTTTTAAACCATAACTTTTTCTAGAGGTCCACAAAACTGTTAGCTTTTACAGCATGATCATTGTAGATTTCTTTTTAAGTTACAAAACCAAAATATTAAAGAAAATTTATATCTATTATGAAATATTTATATTTATTATAAAATATTTATATCTATTACAGAATATGATAACTTGAATTTTGTTGAGAGATTTTGTTGATTTGTTATTACTTTTACATTTTTTTAGCCATTGCAATTCTTAAATTGTTAATATCCTTATTTAAAAATTTAATTGTTAATATCCTTATTAAAAAATTCTTAAATCCTTAACAAAAGTTCAACTAAACACAACAAAACTCTTAACAAAAGTTCAACTAAAATTCAACTAAATACAACCAAACCCTTAACGAAAGTTCAATTAAACACAATGAAACCATTAACAAAAGCTCACCTAAACACAACCAAACCCTAAACAAAAGCTTAGCATATGCCATATATAATTAAATTATACACAGATTTCTAAGTAGTATTTGAATATTCTTTTAATAAAAAACAATATTAAAGATAAGTTTGATATACATATATACGATATATACAGTTTTTTTACAGTAAAGAAAGTCTTGATCACTAACAACAAATCGACACCAAAATAACTAAAAACTGACACCATTTTGACAACAAAAAAATGACGCCATTTTGAAAGCATTTTTAGAGCAAATCAAATAAATAAAACTCAATGCTTGTATTTCACAACTATTTTTCAGTAACTAAAATGTTTCCTTTTAAGTAGTAAAGTTTTTTTATTAAGTAAAAATTTTAATTAGTTTAGTAATTATAATAAGTAAAAAGAAAGTGTTACAAAAATTTTTTTCCAAAACATCTATTCAACCTTATTCATTTTAAATAAAAATCAAATCAAGCAAGGAAAACAATTAGAAACAAATCTACCATACAGACAATTTTTATAGTTTAGTTAAAGGCTAACTGAAAGACGCTAATATTTTGAAGAATAAAACTGCAAAATAATTAAAATCCACTACTTTACCAACTACAAAAAAAATTTGACATGACCAGAACAAAATAAAATAGGAATAGCAGCAGTATAAGGAGGAGAAAACCAAGTGGTAGAGCGAAGCTTCTACAAGAATCAATAAAAGTTTCCATATTTGTTTGAGCCAAAGAAATTACATAAGATGAAATTTTCATCAGCCCAAAAGACAAAGAGTCAGTTATCTGGTTATAATCCTAACTGCTTATAAAAAAAACTTGAAAATTCTCTAAAAACAAAAAAAACCTACTCTAAGTCATTATCATCATTTTCTTTACTTTCCCATGATTCTCGCCTGCTACTACTTGCGTGAGAAGGTTCATACTCATTATTTTCATAACCAAAGTCTTCATCTGGATCATAGTCATAATCTTCACAGGGATTTTCTTCATCATAGTACTGTCCATTTTCATCATAATAATTACCATCATCGTCATAATAATCAATCTAAATATATTTTGAAATATTTTATGTTTTTGGAAAATGTTTATATAATATTAAGACTTGCATTTTTTATTGTAAAATGATATAAACACACTCACACATACAACATATATATATACACACATACATATACATTCCTATATACAACTTATTTGAATTCCTGTTTAGATAACACCTATGAAGACACTTTCTGTTACATTAATTAGCCTTCTGCTAATTAATGTAACAGAAGAAGTAGTAGTATAAGTAGTAGTAGTAATCAGTAATTTACATTATTCGATTAATGATTAAATTTCGAAAAATTAATCGATTAATTTTCGATTAATTAAAACTTAATAAAAGTAATTTATATTTTTTATGATTTTATTTCTCTTTTCGCCAGATATGATCTTAAAAAACATAAATTATTAAGTGTCATCATTTAAGCTAGTTCTTAAATTAGTAACAAATAAACCAGCTGCACTAAAACTTCTTTCTGCTTCTATAGAAGACGGGGGAAGACTTAGCATGGCATTATAAATCTTTTCTAAAGAACTTAGCCTGTTTCCAGTGCTTTCGAGTACTGCAATTTCATGTTTAATGCAAGTCAAAACATTTTAAGGGGAAAACTTACAAGTTAGCCCTTTAGTTTTTCCTTCTGCTGAAGTTGTATTAGATATTATTTCTGCTAATTCTTCAGCTTTAGTTTTTTTCTTAATGGTTCTGTATTACAAGTAGACTCTAACTCAGACTCATATGCTGCTTCGACTTCCTCGTGCAGAAATAAACGTAGGTATATTTCTCTAGCAGTTTTAGAAATTTTATTTTTACATGGGTGTTTCAAAAGATTATCTGGAAATTATGAGTCTGATTTTTAGTCAGCTGGGTTATTTAAAAAGCACAGTAAACCAGCAATATTACAATTTCTTTTTTCGAGAATTCTCTCCAAGACAACAGTAAATAAATTTTGACCAATGTTAGTATTTTGTTCTTTAAGGTTTTGTAGTAAAAATAAAATAATTTTATCAGATTTTATCAGATCACAGTTTTTTTTTCCTAGTTCCATAAGACTTAACTCTACAACATGTAGAGCCTGAACAATATCAGAAATGTGTTTTATTTCTTCTTCTTTTAAAATTAAATCTGTTCTAGATATATCAGCAAGAGCCTTTGCAATAACATTTTTTAACTTTAAGAACCTTTTCAACATACTTATTAGAGAATTCCATCTTGTTTTAGTATCCAAAATAGGCTTAAGTTATTTTCCTAAATCTGTTCTACAAATATTTTGAAGGGAATTGTTTTTAAGTGGAGATTTTCTAAAAAGTTTGACTATATTACAAACCTTCGATATAATAATGCCATAGTCCTCATTAAAATGGATTTCCTGTGAAACAGAGCTAATATTTTCCTCATTCCAGCATTCTTCAGTGTCGTTTTCATCATCAGGGATGGTGAAAACAACACTGATGTTTCATTTTCATTCTCATCACTAATTACTTCTTCTTGAGTTGTTTCTATTTCTAAGCATTTTTTCTTATAATGAATATCACATACAGCAAGATGAATTCCATGGCAGTAGCAAAGTTCGTGTGTAACTCCCATTTCTCGTCCTATTTTTTTCATTACTGATGCACCGTCAGTAACACATCCAAAAATATCATTGATCAAATTCAAGCCAAATTCATTTAATTTTTCAATAACAATATTAACAGCTCTTTCTGAAAGCAACGAACCTTTTATTCTAATCATTCCAAGACCATAGTGACATTTGTCTGAACAATGCACATTAAGACATAAATACCTTCTAGTTTTACCAGAAGTCCACTCATCAAGAGAAATTAAAAACCTTTTTCTTTTTAATTTTAATTAAATAAATGCTGAAGTTCTTGAACAACTTTTAACTTAATTGAGTTTGCGTAGTTCATAACAATTGTCTTTATAAGATGTCGATCATCAGGGATTTTAAGTCCTTGAGCTTTCCAGCCATTTTTAATATCTTTGCTATTGGCCAAAGTTGAAAAAGGGATACAATCAACAGCAGTTAAACGAGCTAATACATCTTCAGCTTTGCTACCTATACTATTACAACAAGCAGCAATACTTGGCTGTATATTTTTAGACTTCTCTGAAAGAACTTTTGTCAAAAAAATTTTATGTTTGTGCTCTAAATGGTACAAGAAACTTGAAGTTGATGAATGGAATTTAAGTTCGACTGAACAATGTTTGCACTTGTATGTTGATTTGTCTTTATTTTCCAATAAAAAATGTTTCCAAACTTCAGAGCGGTTTTTTCCAAACGACATTGTAAATAGTGGTCAAGCAGTCGCACTATAAAAAAGCATTGTTTTTGTTTGTTTATAATTATATTTGACCAGATGCCAGATAAAAGTCAACACAAGTCTGGTTCGTTAAAAAAATGCTTGTAAATATTCGTAAAAAACTTTGGAACAAAATAACGCAAAGTTGTTATATTAAAAAAAAATTAATCGATTAACCATTTGTTAATTAATCGATTAATGAATAATGATTTTTAATCGATTAATTGTTAATTGTTTACCACCCCTAATACAGAACAAAATAACTTTATTCTTTAATGTTTTGCGCATTTTGAGCAATGATCTTTTGCCATCTTTCAGGCAGTATCATACTTCCACGTTCATAAAACTTCTGGTTATTATCAGCAAAAAACTGAACCAGGTACGATTTGACATCATCATCATTATTGAAATTTTTATCATTTAAGGAATTTTGCAAAGATCAAAATAAAAAGTAATCAGATGGTGCAAAGTCAGGACTATATGGTGAGTGTGGCAAAACATCCCAACCAAGCACCGATAATTTTTGCAGAGTGGCCAAAGATGTGTGTGGCCTTGCATTGTCATGATGGAATACAACACCTTTTAGATTTATCAATTTGGGCCGCTTTTCTTCAACTGCATTGTTCAATTTTATTAGTTGTTCAATGTAGACATCTGAATTGATCATTTGGTTGGGTGGTAATAGTTTAAAGTAGACAATTCTTTGTAATTCCATCAAACTGATAACATAACTTTTTTCTAATGAATATCAGCTTTTGATGTTGTTTGAGCTGGTTCACCTGGCTTGCTCCACGATCGTTTCCGATTGACATTGTTTTAAACAACTCTTTTTTCATCACCAGTTATTAATTGTTTTAAAAATGAATCATTTTCATTACTTTTCTTTAACAAATTGCAGATGTTAATGTGATGTGTTAAATAACTTTCTTTTAGTTCATGAGGAACCCATATATTGAGTTTTGGTACATAGCGAAATTATTTTAAGCGATTTTCAAAGCTCCTCTGCAATCTCACATGTTGTACTGTGACAATCCGAATCGATTATTGCTTTGATTTGGTCATCATCAACTTCAACTGGACGACCAGAATGTTTTTTATCTTTGAGTGAAAAATCACCAGAACAAAAAAAAAAAAAAAAAAAAAAAAACTAATTTTGACACTGCTGTTCTTTTAAGGCTTCGCCACCATAAACAGCACACAACTTTTGTGAGCTTTTCCATGCATTTTTTCCATTCCGGAAATAAAAAAGTAAAATATGACAAAAATGCTCGTTTTGATTTTCATTTTTCAACAGATGCCAAACAAAAACAACCGATCGAAATTTTTTTTACTGATTGACAGTTGAAGTACCAACTATCAAAAAACAAAATGTGTTTGACATTTTGATTACGTCAGCAAACCTAAAAATTCAACTAAAGCCATCTATGAGTGAAATCCACAATTACTTAGTTACCAACCCAATATACATATACACACACACACACACACACACACACACACACACACACACACACACACACACACACACATATATATATATATATATATATATATATATATATATATATATATATACAAATACACACACACAAAAAAAGGAACTAAATTAAAAAACCTGTTCAACATCTTCACCATAGTAATAATCCTCTTCATAACTATCATCATTCTTTTGTTCATCTAATGAAGCACCTTCAGCATCATCTACTCTTGGTTCTTCTTGATGTCCAATGGAATCAAGACCTGTTGTATTTCCAGTGAAAAAGGTCTTTTGTGGCGAGACTGAAGTCCAAAATGACGATGGATCAACAGAACTATTTACTACACCTCTTTCAAAAACAGGTAGCTTCTCCATTCCTGCTATTAAAGGTTTAACTGGGGTTGTTGGTTTATTTGAAGTCTGCTTTAACAGAAGCGATGTCATAATTGGAAAATTTTGAGCACTTATGTCACTACCTGTTGAAACAATTGAACTGGTGGATGATGAAAAACTGAAACCAGAAAATATTGAACTAGTTTTTGTAGAAGTAGATTCAGAAGTCGTTGCAGTATTAAATTTAAAAGAAAACCCTGCAAATGGATTTGGTTTAGTTTCAACAACTTTTTCTTCAGAAAAAGATGGATCTAATTTAAATTGGAAATCTGAAGAAGATTCAGTAGCTGATATCAGTGGGGTTTTTTGAGATAAAAATGGATTAATGATATTGGTAGATGATTTATTTGCAAACACAAAGACAGGTTTTCCCTCAGGTGACAGTTTAATGTTGCTAGTAACATTAAATGAAAACACTGGAGTTGATTGAGTTGATTTATTTTCTGAACTCTGAGAATGAACACTTGATGCAATTTTTGGATTAGCTGTTTTACAAGCAAGACATTCATTGACGTCAGATGGATTTGATACTAAGCATGTATTACAACTCCAACTTCCAAACTTTGACTGTATTTGAATTGGTTTACTTTTAACATTATGATCAGGATCTTTTGAAATGAATTTTTCTGTTGCAGATAATTTTTCTGTTCCAGATAATTTTTGAAATTTTAGAAAGATCTCTTGGAACTCATCAGCCTTTTCTTGTGTTCTAAACCTTATAGTAAATTGTTCTGGTTTAACATCTTCATTTGAAGCATCTGCTGCAGTAAACCATGACCATGCAGCTTGAGTGCCAGCTTTTTTTTCTAAAAACATCTCTGGTGTAATAACATGGTTACAACAAACACGAAAAACATGATCCCTGCGCATTGTTATGCGAGCTTTTTTTGTTATATCATTCCATAGTATTTTGACCTCACCGATGCCTCTCTCTTTCCATTGGTTACTATCTTTATCAAAACGATAGAGCTTTGCACGATGCACAAACTTTTCTTCTTCTCCTTCCTCTCCTGTCACAAGATTATTTTGTGAAGTTAACTTTACAATAGGTTCAACATAAATATCATCTAACTCTAATGCAGGAGTATTTGGTGTTCCTTTAACAGATAAAGGTCTTTCTTTCTCCTGAGGTGTCTTGCTAGTATCATCTTTTAAGGTAGGAGCTTCAACATCACCACTTTTTTCACGAAGCTGTTCGACATGCTCAGAAAGACCTAATAAAAAAAAATCACAGACTTTGCACTAAGTTCAAGATCAAGCCAAAAAATTATAACACTTAAACTAAAAAAAAAAATTTTTTTTTAAAGTTAAAATTATAACTTTTTGTTTGAATATTTTTTTATTACCAAATTTAGTGAATGCTTGGTAGTATATTTATATATAATATAATAAAATATAAATAAAATTATTTATAAAAAGGAATAATAAAACATTTTTAATTAAAGAAGTTTTTGAAAAAAAAAAAAAAAAACAACTGAAAAGTATTTCTGTTACTGAAAAAACTACATTTTTTTACTGAGATTAAAAAAATAAACCTGAGAAGTAGCCTTTTTCAAAAGAAGGTTGAGGAGAAAATGAATCCCACCACATATCCGAACCTTGTGAATCAACACCATTACTGCTAACAACAGGAGTCATTGTACCAGAACAGGATCTAAAATTAGGATATCACTCTAAAATTGCAATCTAAAGCCTTTGTAAAAAAAGACTTGAGTAAAAAAAATAATAAAAGTGTTACTTTTTTTACCCAAAAAAAAAAAAGTGATTTTTTAAAATTGAAACAAATTTTTTTTGTTCATCAAATACATTTATAAAGAATTGTGAAAACACTTTTTAGTATTATATCTAGAATTTAAATAAAATGTTCCTTTTTTCTGTTTTTAATGTAATTATTTCATCTAGAATTTAAATACTTTTTTGTTCTTTTTTTTGGCATTTTTATTTAAATTATTTTAATTTAGAAGTTGATATTTTTATTCTATTTAGAATTCAAATAAAACATTTGTCTTGCTTTTTTTTTTTAATTATTTTATTCAGAAATCAAAGCTTTTTGCTGTTTTTATTTTAATCTAAAGCAAATAGGTTTTTTTTGAAAACCATAAAGTAAGAGTATCTTATCGAAAACAATTAAAAACAAAATTTATAAAAAAGGGAGAAGATATTTGAAATAAACAATAAATTGACAAAAAAGCAATTTCCAGGAATTTTTTGGAATAACTAAAAAAAATCCAGGACTTTCCAGGATTTTCAAATTCAAGGACTTTCCAGAACTGGTGAAAACCCAGAGTATCAATTATTCTTTTGATATTTGAAACGAGTTTACACCATTATTAGAAAAAAAAAAAGATTGAAGATTGTGAGTAGAAAACAAATAATATTGTTAAAGATTAAGATAGCAATTGTTAAAAGACTTTGAACAAAAAAATTTTTAATAATTTGATTAACAAATTTTGTACAACTGAGACCAAATTTATTACTGTTAATAAAATAACTTGGATATTTTTTTATTAAATTTCTAAACTAATTCTAACAACTTAATACTTCTAATTCTAATATATCGCCATAACAATATCACCAATTTGTTTTCTGTTTCATTTAAAAAAAAGCCAAACTCAAAACCTTACCTATTATGAGCAGCTGTTGGCATATACACTTGCTGTGGAGCATAATGCACATTAAGCATATTATAAGCATCTGGAGTTTGAATCACTTGAGGCAAAATACTAGATGGAATTGGTTGAGCATTTTGATAAACAAAAGATTGATTACAATTAACTTGAGAATCCATTGGTTGAACTGCAGGAGGTGTAAAAGGCACCATACCTTGCCTAATAACAGATACTTTAGGAGTCATTTTTGAATTAAGTGTATTATTTACACCTAAAGGTATTAAAGCAGGTTGAATACCACTTGGAACAATTAAACTTGGATGAACATGAGGTGGCATATAACCCGGTGATGGATATGCATGAATCACATTTTGCTGCTGGTATTGTATATTATCGATTTGTGCCTTGTACATAGCAAGAGTTTGTTTTAAACTTTGATTTTCTGATTCTTTGGCATCCAGCTGCTGCTGAAGAATAGTTCTCTCAAATGATGAAGTCTAAAATTTTTTTTAATTTTAAATTTTTATTGTCAAAATAGTCAACAAGATAGATATATATTGTACATATTTTTAAATAGTATAGATATATTTATAATATAATATTAGATGGTATATAATTTTATATAGTATAAATATATTTATGTTTAGATATAAATTATTTAAAAACAATTTATTATCATAATCTATTTGATACTATACATAACTTATACTATTTTTAATAATTAAAACTATTTTTTTTAATTTTCTAAAATGAAAAAAAATCAAATCAAATCAAAAAGGTCACTATGAAAGAGCTTGTTTATTTTATTACCCCCTCACTCAGCTTTACAATTCCCAAAACATACGCCATAACAAAATAAGGTAACTTCAAATAAAACATATTAAGTGCAATATTAAAGACTATAAAATCGAATTTGATTTTAGACCTTTGTTTCAGAGATCAAAGCTCATATTTTATTTATTATCCTTTCTTTATATCTTAAATAGTTCTCAAAAATTCTTTTTAACTTATCATTTCTTAATACTAAACAACAAAATTTCATACAAATTTTAAAATTTCCAAACCTCTGAACTGGATGTGTTAAACATTGAACTCTCCAAATAAACATCAGCATCTTCTGGTAATAGAGCATTTGAATGTGATTGCAAAAACAAAGATCTTTTAGTTGACGGTGTCTTATCATTTAATAGCTGCAAATCTTGGAGCTGTTTAATTAAACTCTGCTTAAGCTCAGATGAATGATCAGCGTTAGATATACATATAGATAACTTTTCTTTTGCTTTGGTCACATAATATAAATAATCTTTTTCACCCTCAAAAGTTTCTAAATCACTTTGAGCTGCTAATTGAATATAAATCTACAATAAAAAAATAAGTATAAAAATAAAAAAACATAGAAAATATAAAACATTAAGTTAAAAATTATAAATTAAGTATTAAAGACTCCTAAAAATCATTACCTGTGCTTGGTTGTACATTGAATGAAGACTTTTCACTTCACTGTAGTACTTCAAGGCATCTTTTAAATTATTATTAACCATGCTAGCATCAGCAAGCCGAATGTAATTTTTATTTAACATGTTGACAACATCATCAGGCTATTAAAACAATTATACAAACTTTAAATTTAAATAATTTATATGAATTATTAAACTCATTTATATCTTTCCATCTATCTATCTATATATCTATATACCTATCTATCTATCTATATATCTATATACCTATCTATCTATCTATCTAAATATATATATATATATATATATATATATATATATATATATATATATATATATATATATATATATATATATATATATATATATATATATATATATATATATATATATATACACACAAATAATATTGCATACTAAGGTAAGCAATCTGATGTCATACTGAAATAGCCTGCTGCTGGGGGCTTCAGTACATACATCGACTGACAAATAGCCTGACTGGCAGTGGAGTGCTGCTACATCAACAGAGGGTTTGGGATGGGGAAGCAATCATTTCATTCATTATTCTTTGTTTTTTCTTCTTCTTTTTCGAAAAAAGAGGGTAATACTAATCCGCCGAAAAATGAATCCACGGAAACTTTTTGTTGTTTGTTATCGTTAAATTTAATGTAAACCCGCAATTATAATTATGAAACTAAATATTAAGAAACAAACAAATTTTAGCTTATGCTTCCAAAATCAGTAAAATTAAACAAAAAAAACAATGACAATATGTCAGTATGGCAATTAGCCGGATGACAATAAACTACAGTATATAAAAAAAACAATGACGACCTATTGCAACTAAAGTTATTTTATGTTAAAAAATTTTTTACAATAAAATTTTGATAAAGTTACCAAAAGGACTTATTACTAGAAAGAAAACCATTTTTTCACAGTTTTTTTTAATTTTTCTGATGAACAACCTTATATTGTTGCTAAAAAAACTAATAAAAAAAAAAGACGACCCCCCGCGACCCATATTTTTAACTTTGTTCAAAATTTTTAAAAACGTAAAATAAATTAAAAATATAACTTTATTAAAATTTTAATGTAAAAAAATTTTTTAACATAAAACAACTTTAGTTGCAATATGTTGTCATTGTTTTTTTTATTTAATTTTACTGATTTTGGAAACATAAGCTAAAACTTGTTCGTTTGTGTATATATATATATATATATATATATATATATATATATATATATATATATATATATATATATATATATATATATATATATATATATATATATATATATACATATATATATATATATATAAAATTTATATATATAAACATCTTCGCTTCCAAAAAGGCTGCAAGCAACCACTAATGAGTGTTGGAAGTTACTGGAAGAGAAAAGTTGAAGATTGTAGAGCAAAATAACAATTGACAGACGAATTTAAAGAATGCAAATTATATGAATTAGGAAAGCAAAATGAAGGAAGCATTTTCCAAAGAACTGATGTTCAAGGAAAAAAACTAGACAAATTAGAATTTTTGGAGCACTTAGGAACAGTAACAGAAAAAATATGAGACTTAGTTGAATGACGAGTAACACGAGATTGAATTTTAGTAGATGGCATAAGAGACGCTAGCTTTTTAGAGCAGTGCCCATTATAGTATTTGTAAAAAAGAGAGAGAGAAGCAACATTACGACGATGTGATAATGGTTGAAGGTTGGCTGCAAGAGCAGGTCCAATTATGTTTACAATGTGTTTTTGCACCTTGTCTAAAAGAGAAAGGGCATCATTAGAAGATACGCCCCAGATATGGCAACAGTATTCCATACAAGGCCGGATTTCAGATTTATAGAGATAGAGAATAGAATCCAGAGTAAGAAAGTGTTGAGCTCGATAAAGAGATGCAACTTTAGCAGATGCTAATTGAATAAGTGTTTTTTAAAAGCTGATTTGACATTTTTTTTGAAATTCACTTTTTGTGTGTTTTGTGTTCTTCTATGATAGCTTCATCAGTTTATGTTAAAAATGTGTTTAAATTTTATCTTCTTACTCAAATAAAGCCACCTGAAAGTTTTTGATTTTTTTTAAAAAAGCGAATTCGCTTCAAATACGCCCTTTTTAAAAAAGTCGCTCTACAGCTGAATCGTATTTTTAGGCGCAATACGGGAAAAAAGTTAATAGTCTTTCGTATTAATAGTTTTGTTGTTATTATAAGATTTTAAAGGACCTGGTTATTCCAAGTCCTAGAAAGAGGAAAAAAGTTATCCTTGTGGGTACAAAAATAACAAAATAAAACAACCACGTTTAATAGGACAGTCATACATAAATCATTAGGGAAATGAAATTCCACCAAAGTACCCTATGTTTACTTGCAGATAAGTTTCAAACATCCGATATATATATATATATATATATATATATATATATATATATATATATATATATATATATATATATATATATATATATATATATATATATATATATATATATATGTATATATATATATATATATATATATATATATATATATATATATATATATATATATATATATATATATATATATATATATATATATATATATATATATATAGTTATATATAGAGTTAAAAATAATTAAGATGTATTATGTTTATGTCTAAAATTTATAAATTAGCATACTTCAAAATTTTTTAACCCTAAAAACCTAACCCTAAGTCTAAACCAGCTATAGTACTATATTATATTTCCCCACAACTTATGTGGCAATGTTGTTCTCTGTTTAAGATTATAAATAATGCTGTGTATTTTAGTAAAAACTTTTTTTAGCTTGTATTAATTTTATATTAATTTTTTTGATTTCTTTTTTAAGGTGCAAGAAAAAGTATTTGGAGAACTTTGGAGATGCTAACTGTGTGAATATCTTTTCCAAATTTTATGATATAAAAGGCAAAGACAAACAAGATTTTTATATTCAAGGATTAATAGATGTCACTAAAGTTAAAAGAAGAGTGCCACATCAAAAGAATCTTGAAAACTCGAAGCAACCAAATAGCTCCTCCTATCATGTGATTGTAGGCAATGTACGCATAGAGATATGTTGCAGTGCACTTTTATCTGTCTTAAGTATTAGTGAAAAACGATTACGGAGAATAAGGAACCTTAAGGTAATTGGAATAACCCCTGAAGATAAAAGAGGGAAAGGTATTACTAATTGTCTTCCTAAAAAAGTTCATGACATTGTTACTAATCGCATAAGATCATTTCCACTTAAGGAACCACATTACTCAGGGAAAAAGTATATTACCTCAATGCAAGTTTAAATGTAAAAACAATGTGGCAACTTTTTTGTGAAAAAATCCAGATTTAAAAGTGAGCAAGTCTTTTTAATGGAACCATTTTAAAACTAATTTTAACATACGGTTTGGGCGCCCACAAGTGGATACTTGTCGCACGTGTGAAGAATTAAATTTTAGATTGAAATCACTACATCTCAATGATGTAGCTAAAAGAGCTGCGCAGACTGATTTAGATATTCATAAGCTCAGGAGTAATAAATTTTACAATGCTTTAAAACATGAAACATCAGAAAATGGCTTAAAAGAGGAGCACATTCTATCATTGGCATTTGACTATATGAAGACAATAAGCTTGCCAAAAATACCTGTCCAACAAATTTATTGTATGAGACAGCTATCATTTAATGTTTTTCCTATACATAACATTAAAGAAAAAAAAGGCATGCATATATATACCATGAATGTCAAGGAAGAAAAGGGCCTAATGAAGTTGCGACTTTTTTAAATGATTATTTGATCTCAGTTCCATCAAAGTATAATACATTACGTTTGTTTTGTGACAACTGTAGTAAACAAAATAAAAATCAGACCTTAGCACATTTTGTTTATACTTAATTGACAGTGGTAGATTTGATAAAGTCGAACAGTTCTTCCCAATGAGAGGGCATAGTTTCCTCCCTTGTTATAGGGACTTTGGTATAATTTCAAGTGTTTTAAAAACACATGACCATCTTTATCACATGCATCAACTTACTGAGCTTATTATTAGCAGCTCCAGATAACAAAGTTTACAGTGAAAGAAATTGTAGATGCAACTGAATTTTTTGATTTTAAAACTTGGAGCCCAAAACATTACAAAAAATCTTGAATTTCTTCAGAAACCAAGGGTAAAAATACCCCAAAAGGAAAGAAGGTTCACTTTTTAATTAGTAACTTGTTTCATTTTGTATATGAGCTTGATAAAAAAGGCTACATTAAAGCATTCACCAATATTAATGGTTTGGTATGTCATACATTTTTTATGTCCAAACATATGGGTACTTTACCACAGGTGGATAGTTTAGCTTATCCAACTGTTAAAGTTACACTAAAAAAAGTGAAGGTGGAAGACCTTAACAAATTAAAATTCATTCCTGAAGAATTCAACTATGCGAGAATTCAATGAGCGCGAGAAACAGTAATATGTGATTTGCAAAATTATATTAACTTAGATTAGAAGACTAGAAGTTTTGTTTACGCCAACAAGCTTCTCATTACATTGCATTTGTTATTAGTTTTAAAGTTAAAACGAGTTTGCTTAACTTAAGTGTCAATGAAATTGATTTCTTCATTCGATCTATGTTTTGTTTACTTCGATCTACAATGTTTGTATAATCTATATACTGTTGAGGTTTCTTCGATTAATGTTTTTAGTTCTTCATTAAAAATTGCACTCCTGGCCAACCAATGAATGTGAGATTTTCCCTGATAGTGACTTTGAAGAAGAACTAGATTAATATGCTGAAACTTAATGCTTACTGAGAGCTTTTTTTGTTATTAACTCATATATATATGTATTGTATTTATTACTGGCACGTTAAAATATTGTTCAAAAGTACATAGGTGTAGTTCTTACGGAGTTTTAATTTGTTTTCCTTCCTGAAATATTCGATTTTTTATAAAAGGGCAAATTTTTGGAACTTTCATATATTAATTATTAACAAACGAAATGTTATAACAATTATCAAAGTGTACTAAGATGTTACTTTTGCATATATTTTTTAAAAATATATTACACAAAATCTGTATATTTAATATTAAAAAATATAAATAGTTTTTTTAAGTTTTCTCAAAAACGGGTTTTAAGCAAATCAGCCCTTAAAAAAAACACTGAATCAATTTTGCAACGGATTCGATATATGGTTTTCAAGAAAGATCAGAAGTAAGAGTTAATCCTAAAAGATGAAGGGTAGATGACTCATCGAGTACATTACCATTCATAAATATAGGAAGATCTAAATTATTGCGACAACAATTGGCTGAAAAAAATTTAGTTTTATCTGAATTAAAGTTCACCAGTCATTGTGAGCCCCATGCTGTAGCAGAAGTGAGATCCTTTTCAAGCTCAAATGCCCCCTCCAAGCAATCAGAGGGAGTTGGCTTCTTATCATGACAAGAATAAAACAATGCCACCTTAGATGTGAGAATATCTGGAAGATCATTAATGTAAATTAAAAAGAGTATATGGCTAAGGATTGAACCTTGAGGAACCCCTGAGGTTACAGAATAAGAAGAAGAGTGCTGTCCATCAAGGACAACTTTTATACTACAATTGATAAGGAAGGATTCAATAATTTTAAAAATGTTTCCAGATACACCATTTAAAAAAAGCTTATGGAGAAGACCAGCATGCCAAACTTTATCAAATGTTTTAGAAATGTCAAGAGCAATGGCCTTAACACCTTAATCTAATGCGCAATAAAACCTATTTGTTATTACTGTTATAAAATCAACCGTAGAACAAGAATCATATTGATAATCAGAAAGTAAGTTATTAGATTCAAGATGAGAAATTGTTTCTTAATTTAAGATTCAAAAATCTTGCTTATGATAGGAAGAAGACTAATGGGACGGTAGTTAGATAAATCAGATCGCTCTCCAGAATTTTTAAAAATAGGGATAAAAGATGCTGCTTTCCAGTAGGCTGGAAAACAAGACTCTGATAAGCACTTGTTGAATAGTTTTGAAAGTATAGACGACAGCTTCAGAGAACACTTCTGCAAGACTATAACAGGTATGTTGTCCGGGCCACAAGCTGTAGAAAAGTCTAAGCAGGAAATCACTTTAGATACAGAAGCTGGAATGATACAGATGTCAAGCAATGGATCAACCTGTTCGATAGCTATATCAGGTAGAACGCAATAAGAGCGGAATCAAGAGATGATATTGATGAAAAGTTCTTAGCAAACAATTCAGCTTTGTCTTAAGGTGAGGTGACAAAGTCTGAACCATACAAAAGAGGTGGAATTACAGACTTGCCCTTATTATAGATACTGTTAAAGATTTTCCAGAAGTCACGAGAGCCTAATTTTTGTGATGACATACGAAATTTGATGACCTGAGAATAGCGGGCTTTGGCATTAGACAACATCTTTTTACAATGATTTCTAGCAGTAATAAAACAGACGTCTGTTTTCTGGAGAATTGTTTCGCTGATAGATATGGAAGTAATGGTTTCGATTGGCAATTGTGGCAGCACAATGCGAGGAAAACCATGGAGAAGAGTGAGGCTTGACATGGAATTGTCAAGAAGGAATAATGGATTCTAAGACGAAAGATTTCTACCCAAGAGCCATCACGAAGAAAATCACAGAAAGAGTTCCAGTCAGCTTTAAGGTAGTTGTAAGATGTACAATGATAGGGGGATTCTGATGATAAGAAGGATGAGGTAATAGTTTTAGAGAGATCAAACTGCGATCAGAGGCATCTAAGGGTCAATGTGGAGAAACTGAGCACTGACTAGGATCAGAAACAAAACACAAGTCAAGTAGAGAAGGTAAATGATTAAGGTTGTTTGGAAAGCAAGTTGGAAAGTTGACTATTTGAGTTGGGATTGAGAAAGGCAAAAGTTGTGGGTTTTAATGCCTGCAGAGTCACTGACACTAGAGCCAAGCCATTCAGTGTGATGGACATTCAAGTCACCGACAACAACAATATTGGCTGATGGATAAAGAGAGAGGGCTTGGTCAATATGATCAAAAATAACATCAAGAAGAGTGCAGTCTTGAGATAAAGGAGAGCGATATAGAACAAAGAAAAAGGTGATAGAGTGAAGTGGTGCTAAATGAAAGCACATAAAAGAGTAGTCTGTGGATTCAAACCAACACAGATACAGACCATCAACACAGGTACAGTAAAAGGATGCTACTTGTTGAATAAGGAACAAAGCAAGATTGAGTTTTGGTTTATTGTAATTGAATCCTCAAATGAGATCACAAGATGAGACAGCTGAACTCAAATTAGTCTCATAAAGACCAAGTAGGTCTGGTGAACTTTGCAAGAGATAAGACTTAACAAAAGAAAAAAATATATTTTAGTAAATGACTGGGGTTTATATATGACCAGGGCCCAGGCCGGGTTTGATAAAATAATGCTGGGGTCGGGTTTGTGACCAGGGCTGCATAAACATTTATAAATCATAAAGTACATTTTATTATTTCAAAATTTATGTTTGATTTTGTATATATATGCATTTGTAAACATGATCAACATGATCATCATCATGACTCTGATAATCATAATCTTCATCATCATTATCATCATCACCATTATTGTCATCACCATCACCATCATCATCATCATCATCATCATCATCATCATCATCATCATCATCATCATCATCATCATCATCAGCTGTTTCTCTAATCATGGTCAATCCTCAAATGAGCTATCATTTCTATTACAATAAACCTAAACTCATTCTTGCTTGGTTCCTTATTCAACAAGTAGCATCCTTTTACTGTATCTGTCCCTACTTATTAAATACTGGCATAAATATATGCCAGAATTTAATAAATGGTAAATGTATAAAATTATAATATATAAAGAATTATAAATTTATTTCTAGCCCTGGCTATCAACCCCTCCTAAACCTTATAATTTTTCCAGGGCCAGATTTGCAAAAAGTCTTAAGTTAAAAAAACAAAATTACTTGGAGTACAAAAACACAGAAATTTATATTTTTTTATCTTATAACTAAGACCAAAAATCTATTATTAAATCTATTATTGAAATAGATGATTTGCCAATGTATGTTAAAGTTTTTCTTATCAGTGTATGTGTATAGAGGACACTTGCTGAAATTGGAACAGCACATTAATTAGAAATCTTGGATTTTTTTTGGAAATTATGTCTAATAGTAAAAAATAGTGAAAAATAGTGCATTTTTCTAGCATCATTTTCTTTTATGTCTTATTTTCTATGGTTTGAGAGATTTTAAAAGTTATCCCTCAAAAAATGCACACGCACCATTAAAAGTCCCAAGTTTCCTTGACTAATACTATAAAGTTTCCCTTACTTGTGTAAGTCCCTTACTTAATCAGTGGTAAAATCAAAGGGTTAAACAGTTCAGGCCTAATTGAACTGGCAATTTTAATCCTATTAAAATTGCCAGGTCAATTAATTTAAGTTTTGAATAAATTGTTTAAATTATTGAGATCGGTAATGAATTGGAGTTGAGATCGGAATTGGTTAAACAGTTGAAGTCGGCTATGAATTGCCGCTTCCAACTGTAAGAGGTTAGCGTTAGTTCAGCAAAAAAAATTTCCGCAAAAGGGTTACTGTAAAACATAGAAACGAGGTGGGCAATTTTTTACCAAAATCAAACACTTTTAGGTTGGCAATACCGACCCTAATTCCAACATATATATATATATATATATATATATATATATATATATATATATATATATATATATATATATATATATATATATATATAGTACACACATGCTTTTGCTGGTTTAGTTTAACAATGCCCTAATACATTTTGCTCATGTTAAGTTTTAAGTTTTTGATGTTCGTAATAATGCAATAAAAAATTTTATTCTTATAAACTGTAATAATTTATTGTTATATGATGTTATTGTTATGCTGATAAACGGAATAGCAATCTGACGTAATCTAGATCTAATGGAGGTGAAATACAGTGAAAAAAATTATATAAAAAATTTTACAATTATTTTTGTAATATTTTTTATAATAAATGTTTCAAACATAAAAACATAATCTTAAAAATAAAACTAAAAAAATATAAATTGAATAATTATATTGACAAAAAATAAATTAATTACTCATTAATTACATCTTTTTTTTCCGTTTCATAATGAAAAGACACAAAAGTTCACACAAAAAGGAATTTCAAAAATCTAATTTTTAAAATTCCTGATATAATAATATATAAAAATGGGATATAATAATCATTATTTAAATCTTAACGAGTTAATATTTTTTCTAACATGATGCTATGCACTGTTATTTATTATGAAACAGTTGTTGTCTTTTATTGCAAAATTATATACCTCATTTATTACCAAAACATAAAAATGTTTAATCAAAGTCATTTTACTATTTACAAAAATATTTTTCAAGAAGTTACTTGTAGTCTATGTATATATATTATTAAACATGTGTACATATGTAAAAACGCATGCGTAAGTATGTATAAACATGTCTACATATGAATAAAAATATATGTACACAGGCTTTGGCAGAAACAAAGGCCTCGACTTAACTCGACATATTTAACACATTCAAGTTTTAGATACAAAATTTTTTTCTGCTTTCTCTCTTGGAGTTATTTCCATGCAAATTTAAAACTTTTCAAATTAAAAAAGTTTCACAAAGAAGAATAACGAAAGAATTTTTTTTTAATGAAGCAGAAAATAATTATTAAAAATATCAAAAACTTACTTCTTATTTTAAGACATTTAATCAAGTCATTTAGATGTCTTAAAATAAGATGATTAAATTTAGATGATTAAACCAATCAAATATCAAGAAGACATCTAATTAATCTATTAAAATATATATGATATTAAAAGTATCATATATAAGTCTTATATATTATAATAAAAATCTTTATTTCTTTTAAGTAAAGTTGACATTAACCTAATAAAACCATATTTTATTTATTGCAAAACTAATAAAAATGTTAAGCTTTAATGTAAAAAATATATGTAAAAAATAATAACATACTTAATACTAGGGATAACTCTTTTTTAGTTTTTTATTAATGTTACAAAATATTTTTCTATTTATAATATTTTATAAAATAAAACTTACGAGAATGGGCTCAGACAAAGGTAGTATAAGTGGATTATCTGTTGCTGGTAAAACACGATTGCTAAAAGAAAAATAGACTTTTCAATTAATATGTATAATAAATTATTAACTATAACAATAACTTAATAATTTTTTGAAAATTATTACTGACTCACTGAAAAACAGTAAAAAAAAAAAAGATTGAAAAATGATAAAAAGGAAATGACTGGATATTTTTACATGCACATTTGAAAAGTGTTAGTGCTAGAGAATAATACCAGGGTGCATTACACTAGGGTATTATTTCTTATAAAAGATCTAAACCACACTAATGTTGCTTAGTTTTCACTAGTAATTATCAAACTATTTTTAAATTTGAATTAATTTTTATTTATACTTGTACTTTTTATTAAGTGCAGTGGTGTGTGCATTCATCATAACTGATTTTTTTAGGAATAGGGCAGCCAAGTGAACTTATCTTGAATGCATGTTTTTATTAGAACAGGTATTCTTTTAGCGAAGTCTTTTTAAATTTTATAATCATTTTTCATCTTGTTTTTTTTTTTAATTTAAATTGAGTTTGACTGTTTGGAAAATTGAAATGGAATGTTGAAATTGTTTTGTGTGCACTTGTGTATATGTGTATACAGACACAGTATAAAATTACCATCTGTGAGAGCTTTAGTACATACATTGACTGACAGTAGGGGAGATTAGGGCTAGTAGCAACAAAATTTAAAAAACTGCATTTATCTCCAATAACTTAGATTTTTATTACATTTTTTATCAGGGGGTTATAAATTAGATCTTAGTGACATTTAACCAAAATAAAAATTTAATAATTACATTAAAGGAAAGTAGGATTGAGCTTTAACTTTAACTTTATGTGAGACTTCACATATACCTGACTTGTTTAGTAAAATAATTATATTCAAAGATTTTAATGACTGAAGAAATTAAAATAAAAAGAAATTATTTAAACTAACTTATTATTTTAACTATTAATTTATTATTTTAACATAAGTGGTTCTGAAAAAAAACTATTCTTATAGGTAATAAACAATAAATTTGTTTAGAAAATGCAAGAGAAATTTTTAAGATATTTAAGTTCTTTTTTAGGAATTAAAAACACAATAATATTTTATTTAAAAAAAAAAATGTAAAATAATAAATGAATGTTAAACAAAATTTCATAAAAAACAAACAAATGTCAAATTTAAATAACAACAAAAAGAGAACTTCCTAGCAATAATTTTCATTAAAACACAAATAAGTATTACAAAAACTACAGAATTAATTAAATTTCCATTCAACAATTATGTTGTTAAATGTTTTATTTATTTATTGATGTAAACATAATTAGTAGATTTTCCCTTTCTTGAACTAACTTTTTCAGTACAAAAATGTCCATTACTTTTGAAATAACTAGAAAAGTGTGTAAAATCAATAAAACTTGCAGTTCTTTTATGATTTAACTTACCCCAAGCAACTTGTAGCAATTTACTCCTTTAGGCATCATGATCATTCTCATCAATGTATATAATTATCTACATAAATAAATCTAATTTTTTTTTAATTTTGTGTTAAATATATATTTTTTAACTTTTAATCATTATTATGGTCATATATCTCTAAGTTTACAGTGAAACCCAAAAAAACTTTGAAAAAAAAAAAAATTAGAATTTTATAACGAAAAAACAAAATTATCAATAACTTTTAAAATTTATAATTTTTTTATAACTTTTTATAGTTATAACTATAGTTTTATAATGTAAAAAAAATTTAGGAATAAAATATTCAAACCATTCTTTAAAATACATTGTTGCAACAAGCCCCAGTCTACCCTACATACACTGACTGACGGTTTAAGCAGACAACATGTATATAATATAAAATAACAGCAAAAAACAGAAAGCTAGGTATTTGATCCAACAAATTTAGTGTCAAAACTTTTGAATTTTTTGATAATCATTTTTTTTTTTTTTGCTTATTAGATTCTCTTTCATTTCAATAAAAATGAATCATGATAAAAATGAGACAAAGAAAAGTAGTTAATAATGAAAATTTAATACATTCTTTAGCAATGTTAGAAATAAGCTCAGAATCAGCATCAATTCAACCAGAAAAATATTTAAAGTTAAAAAACATCTGATGAAAATAAAAAACTGTAGATTTTTTCAGTTTGGACAATTGAATTGAAACATTTATTTTGTTAAATTAAATAAGTTTTTATGAATAATTTTGTTGCAATCAAAATTGTTGATTGAAAAATATTTATCTTAAAATACTTTAACTAAGATTAGCTTAGTTAAAACTTTTCTTACCTTTTGTAAACTTCCAAAATTTTTATGGCTTCTTTCATGTAATAAATTGCTCGAGAATTCAAACTCTATTTCAAAAAATCGTTTAATATATTTTTTTAATGGATTTAATAAAAAAATATGGAAAAAAAAAATTCTAAATAAAAATAAAGAAAACAAATGAATGAATTAAACAAAACATAAATAAATTAAACTAAGGAAAAAATAGCAAAAAAAATTACTGTTGACATTTATAATAATTTTTATTAAAAACAGTGCAGATTCTAAATTTAAAGTCAGTTATTTTTCCCCAGCTTAACTCTAGGTAATAATATATAATACTGAAAATATAAAATATTGAATATATATATATATATATATATATATATATATATATATATATATATATATATATATATATATATATATATATATATATATATATATATATATATATAAAGAAACAAGACAAATTTTTTAATTAATAAAACCATTTTATTAACTTTAACCAATACATGTTTCGATGTTTTGACTATTACTAGTCATCTTCAGTTGAATTTAAATTTTTTTTTTTTAAATTTGTTTAAATACCTATATAGGTGATTTTTACAATAACAATACAAAATGTAATTATCTATGTACAAACTATTAATTTAATTACAAAAATACAACAAAATCTATAAGAATAACAAGTCATGTTAAAAGAACAAATAGGAAGTGACGAAAAAATTGGTTAATAAAATTTTTACATAGAAAATGGTTGACTTGTTTGTTCAAACCAGGTTTTAACCATTCTATGAACATGCTTTCTTTAAGTAAAAGAAAGAAAAACTAAAAGTAAAGCTTGAAGTATTTATTTTCTACACAATGGCAATTTATTTGGTTCAGTACCTTTTGAGCATTCTGTCATTGTGTAGAACATGGAGATACTGCAATATGAAAATAGTAATCAGACGATCTAAGTTGACAATAAATGGCGCTCTTCCTATTTGGTTAACAATGTAGCCACAAAATATCCCTGCATTCTCTGTTTGTGGGATAGCACATTCAGAGAAACCATGATACAGTGCTTGAAAAAAGCATTGAGTTAACTTTTAAGGTTTTAAGCATGGAATACCAACATTCTACATGATTTACTTGTTGACAGGGGGAAAAAATACCCCACATCTGCACATATAAATCTAAAGCAAAACGTCTTGTAAATTGTTAAAGTATCCTCAACTGATGGTAGCTGTTTGAAGTTCAGAATCTTACAATTTCCGCAATATTAAAATGAAAAAAATTAGGGTTGATGTGATCAATGGTAGACAAACAGCTCATCAGAGATAACCAGTTCACTTGAACAATATTTGAGAGATAAATTGATTATTATTTAAAGAATAACTTGGTTATTATGAAAAGATGTCTTCAAGAATTTTTCTTAAAAATAAACATGCAAGTTATTAGAAGGAAAACAGAAACAAAAAAGTTTACATATTTTATTGATGCACAAATATCAGAAAATATTTCTTAACATTCTGTCTGTTTAACGAAATCAAAAATTGCTTTAAGACAACAAAAATAACTAAACAAAATTAAACAAAACTAAAACAAAGTACATAAAAAAATGATGAAAAAAAAAAAAAAAAATTACCTCCCAGTGGTCTTGGTAATCGTACTCATGTTTTTTGGAAGACTCAATAGAGACGACCTATATTATTTTAAAAACCATCTTTAACTGTTATTTTATATATTTTAACTAATTAACTGTATTTAAAATATATTTCACATATTTCAAGATTAAAATATAATGGAAGGAGAAAAAAATCCTTACCTTTTCAAAGAATGCAACTGATATATACATTAAAATACGTGGGTCAATGCTGTGGTCACGCATACAACGTATTGTCTCAAGTCCTTTTTGTAAAATAACTTTTAACTTGGCAGCACATAAGTTTCTATAAAAACATAACAATATCTCAGGTTATCATAACATGCCAAAAACAAGTATTTCACACTAGTTAAACTTAACTAGTTAGAACTTTAATAACAGAAAGTGAGAACTCATGAGAATAAGAAAATACTCTTCATGTGGTTTAATATAAAAAATGTTTTATTTTATTCACTGTTTTAAAAATAAACTTTATTTACACAGTTTTAAATAAACTTCATTAACATAGTTTTAAATAAACTTCATTAACACAGTTTTATATTAACTTCATTAACAGTTTTATGAACACAGTTTTAAATAAACTTCATTAACACAGGCTTTCTAAGTAATACTAAAAATGCAACATTTAACAATTTCAGATAATAAGTGACAGAGATACCTTTAATGGGTCACATGGTATTGTTAACAGCCTATTTATTTTAAAGCTTTTGATGGAATCAGCTTCACTGAGAGCTACTATAAAAGGCTTTAAAATCATGAAATTGAGTTTTAGAGCTGAGTTATAAAAGATAGAGTTGCATAACCACTACCAAGAAGACGCAAACAAAAACCCATGAGTAGACTCAAGTAAATCTAGTCTTAATTACTATAGGTAGGAAAGACTGCAACACAGGTTTACATTTATGATAGCCTATCAAACAAATGAGTGCAGAAAAGTTCAACAGAAATTTTCTGCTTACCCCTAAAGCTTTTTCCTATGTTTTCTACAAGATAGCAGCTGGATGTAGTTAACATTTGTGCAAAATGA